CCCCCCTCCCGCTCCGTTTCGACTTTCACCGATCTACAGTCTGCCACCGTCGAAATGCACACAAAAAATTAGCTACCAAACACACCGTTCGCCATTCTAGAAATGAGAAGTCGAAGAAACAGGCTCCCAAAACCACCCCAAGTCTATAAAACCTTTTTTCTTTTTATAGTAAAAAATAAAACATTATAGTTCGACACAAACAATCGACATCTAGTAATAGAACATCAACCTAATTTAAAATCATTTTATTCTTAAGTTCATGTGACAAACAAGATTAGAGAGAGTAGTTTTATGTGATTAGGTCACTTTAAACATTGACCATATGATGATCTTGCTAGTAGAATAGATGTTTTACATTCGACTTATGTTAAACAAGGTAGAGGAAAACCTAACAAGACCTAGGCATGTTCTATAACAAATAATCTTAATAGAACACAATAGAGAAAAAGAATTCATGAAACCGACCCCACTTAGTGCAATAAATATTTGTTGTTGTTGTTGAAGTACACACAATTCATTATTGCTCTCTCTCTCTCTCTTCCTCTAAAATATTTGATTGCCCATTTGGCAAACAAAGATGAGAGGCTTCTTGTTTGTCAGAAGCCCTTCTTTAAGAAACAGATGTTGTAATCAGCTTTAATTATTATTATTATTTTTCTCCTCTAAATATTATATGTATAACATCACATCAAAAATATTATTATCACTATCATTTTAAAAGTAAAATAATACATTTTTTAAATGATTCTTAAGTTTGGATGGCTTGATTTCTTTATTTTAAATATAATTTTATTCCAATAAAAGAGCATTCCAGAGCAGCCACCTAATTTAATTATTTGCATCCATTGTTGCACTTCTTTTTCCAACTGGAATAAAACCTCCAAGTGGCTTTTAACTCGTTAAGAGACAAACTATTATTTTTGTCTGCCCGTCTAAAAATTAAATAAGATTCACGTACATACCGGTCAATTCCTACATATTTACATATCTAACCCCTAAAGTTAATTTTTATACAGATGTCATCTTGTTTATGCATGAAAATGATGTGAAAAGAAGTAAAATAGTGGCGTAATTGTGTAAATATAAATGACAAGGGCGGCTATGAAATATATGTGCAAATATGGATAAAAATATAAATTTGCACAATACATAAATTTTTGTAGTGATAAATTCATAGTGGCTAGAATGAGAATTCAACATATAAAATTTAGTGAGGATAATTTTCTTAGGTCGTTGTAGGAAAATCATGGGGCCCTTTTTCATTATTTTAATTTACAATAAATATACTTTTATGAGTGCACAAATCATTTTAATTATTAGAAACTTAATAACTATATAAAGCACGAATGAACCCATGAGTTGCAATCTAGTTAAAATACTCTCTACAATTGGAGAAAATAAGATTATAAATTATATGTGATTGGTTTTAGTCTAATATGAATTTTGAGACATTTTTAGGAAGAAATGTACTAGGTTTAAATTTAAGATCATCCGGTCCCTAATTTCAGCAAGGGTATAATCAAACGGACCGTCTCGATAAGATGAATTCGATGATACCAAAATTGGTTTGACCTGGATCCAACCAAGGCCAAGTCAAGTCATTAAAACACTTTTAGAGGTTTTGGATCTTCAACTGAATTGTCAAATAAATTTCAAATTTAATATATTTATATTCAAATTAAGCGTCTCGATAAGAATAATCTAACGAGCCTAAGCTCGTTTAATTTTGAGGTCATGAAGACCCTCAAATCATCAAAGCAAAAAATATTATGATCAAGCAGAATCAATATGGGACCAATCACGTGGTTGGAACCAAAATGTCATTTTTTTCCAAAAGCTATAAATAGATCCCCTCTTTTCCCTTGAGGGAGGAGGAGAAGAGCAAGAATTTCATAGTCTATTCTGGCTGAAGACCCAACGATAACTTCTGACTTTCATTGTCGTCGACCACTGCCGACCATCTCCCATCAGTATCTCCCATCGGTCGTTGTTGACCATCGCCAACCATCCTTGCTTGTTGGTGTTGTGAACTCTACTTGCTAAGGATGTATCTCAAATACGATTATAATGTGCAATGTTATATTAAAAATCAGACGATAACTTTCGGTATCCCTAGTCGCATGCCACTGAAGACCACTGTCGGTCGCTCCTGCTCGCCGTCGTAGGCAACCCTTGCTTGCTAATGTCGCATACGAAATAGGACCATAACATATAACATTGTACTGAAGATCCGATGACAACTTTCAGCGACCACTAGCTACAACCATCATATTTAAAACACAATGTTTTTTTTTAAACTCCCGAAGTTTTCAATATATTGAAGTGTTGTATCTGGTATAAAATTGTAGCCTAACTCTCATAGTTGTGAGAAAAGAATTTATCATTATACTTACTTACTTATAGTGGATTACTTCCATTTAATCAAGCCACGTGGTTTCTTCTCTTTTCAGATTTTTCCACATAAAAAATCCTTGTATTCGTTTGTTTCTTTTTTTATTAAATATGTGTGAGCTGGATTTTCATGCTACGCTAAGATCTTAAATTATCATTCTATCGTCACAAATTCTCGGGCACACAACAAAAATACATTTCAAATAGGGCATTTACAATCATAGACATAATTCTCATGTATTTAAATATCTCACATCAAAACTTTCATATTTACACTTATAAAACTCAAATGTTTAAAATCACATGAAAAAAAAAATACTATTAACATTTTTTGAAGCCAAATACATACTTTTCATGAAGAAATTTAAAACATCATAGCGCTATGTACATTGATATGGAAATTTAGGGGTGATGTATATAAATACATAAGAGTTGTATGCTATCTATGCAAATTTCTCATTTTAAAATCACTGAACAACCTTTCTCACCCTCAAAACTCACCCCCGGCTCTTCTGGCCTACCTCCACGAGTGAACGGTCACTTCTTGGGTCACTTTTAGTGGCCATTTAACAGTGTCCACCGTGTGATCTAAAGCACCATCAACGGCCAGGCCAACCAAGTATTGCCATATGAACGGCTGTGATTTCTCCATACAGTAATGGAAGATTAAAATAATGTAATATTTATTTTCCAAATATAATCTAATATAATATAAAAAATAATCAAGAGAAAAAAAAAGAGTAGAAAGAGAATCCTTCCTGCCTCCCATTCTCTCCCTCTTACCCTTTCGCCGAAATGAATGGCGAGAGCTGCAAGAGCTAAAATGCTCCGGAGCCAACCTTCCGCTACAGTGCACCTCTTCTTCTTCCTCCTGACTATCGATCTCGCCGTCGTCTGTGACCTCGGGTTATGGAAGTTTGGATCCTAAGGGCGGCGATCGCCTTTGTGTTGATCTGTGGTGCTGTGCTAGCTGACGCCGGTGTTTCGCCGGAGGGCTGCCGCCGGATTTCGGCCGGCGAGTCGATACTCATCCCGCCGGAAACTTGCTCCCTTCTGGATGTTGGGCCGGTTGGTGTGGAATTTCCTGGGGTTGTGGAGGTTTGCATCTTACTATTTAGGGTTTTTGTACCTCTTTAGTTTGATCTTTGCTATCTAGCTCGTATTGTTAGTTTGGGTTGCGGGAATGATTGATCGTTTGGAAATGAATAGAAGTCTTTTCCAATTTTCTTAACTTCCTTTATTCAATTCGCCTTGTTTTTTTTTTTTTTTTGTTCTTTTGGATATTTGAGCCATTAATTTTTGGCATACATTAATGAAATGTTCATTTAAGCATTGAGGTGGAATATAAGTTCTAGGATTACGTCAATTAGTTTTAAAGGATGGGAACTGAACTTTTTTCAAAAGTTAAGGAGAAGCCTAAAAAGTAAACACTTCTGCAAATGATGAAGCTAAATGTCCGTAAGATGTTTGACTTTAATTTAAACAAAAGCTAATCATATATGTTGATTGAAATGGCCGAAAAAATCATTATTGTTTTGATATAGAATTTTTTATTTTTCATTTAAATTTTAAATCATCATATTTAAAAATAATAAGCTATATATGAGTAATTTAATCAAACGTTAGAGGCGAAAATCATGTCTTAATCAAAGATATAAAAATAGAAAAAAATGTTATTTTTAACAATTATTTAATGAGAATTTAGAAGGAAATTTATTTCAGAAGCTTAAAATAAAGTGAATAATGGGATAAATTATAGATTTATCTCAAAGAGTGAATTATAAAAAGCTTTGGAAAGCATACATAAATGCAATGCTTTAGTTTTTAGATGAGATAACAATTGTGATTTTAAAAATTGTGGGGGGATGTTATAATGGTTTTATCAAGAATTGTTTTATTAATGAATTCTTAATGTCTAAGATGATGCCAAATATTTGGAAAAGAAGCATTTTAATACCAACAACTAATAAAAAATTAGTTGGTTAAGATTGTGATAATTATTCAGTAATCGAACTAATGAGTTATTAGGTGAATTCATAAGAGCGAGTAAAACCATTCCATTAATTTTGGAAAATCATTAAAGTTTTTGGCTAAAAAGATCTACCTTTGAAGTTCTTTTTTTTTTTTTTTTGGTGCTAAGAAATATATCGTAAAAGTATAGAGATTAGAAGAAGTTCTTTCAGATGTTATGTGAACATGAGTATTGTGTAGTAAGAAAAAATGTTTCTAAGTTGAACCTAGAAGAAATAAGAATGCTTAGATAAATGTGTGAATAAAATAGAAAGAATAATTGAATGATTATATCAATGAAAGGCAAGTAGTATTAGCGTCTATTAAAGATGCGGTCATTAAAACTAAACTTAGGTAGTCTACACTTACAGCAAAGAGTGGGAAATGTATTCATTAAATAAGTGGATTAAATTAGTGTCGAATGATAAAGTAAAATAGGTTGATATCAGATATTATAAATAAAAAAAAATTAATTAATTTCTGAAGAATAGATTTAACATTTTTTACTTCACTCAGTAGGAATGAATATAAAATGATGATTCATAAAGCCAATTCCACTAATGATGATAATTATGGTGATATTAATTAACTTATAATGAAGGTTAGTGAATGAAATCATGTGACTTCCAGTGGTGGGCAGAGCACTATTTTGAACCTGCAATTCCTTCTAGCATTTGTTTTTTGTTTTGTGTGTATTCTATAGCCTACTTTTTTGAGATTGTATATTAAGTGTAAATTCAATGAATCTACCATTTGCATTGTGGTCTTTCTTGCAGAGTGATATATATATATATATTGCATTTTGATAATTTAAACAGTTTGTTTCCTTTTTCATATATACTTTAATAGGGAGATGAGATTGCGTTGCAGAGGGCGGCAAGTATAGTGATCTCAAAGAAAGACCAGTATGTTGCTGTGCTCTTTTATGCTTCTTGGTGCCCTTTCTCAAAGAAATGCCTACCAAATTTCAACAGTATGGCTTCCCTGTTTCCTACCGTGCCTCATTTTGCTTTTGAAGAATCAGTAATAAGGCCTAGGTAATGTTTGAAGTTAATTTCTATGTAGCTATCCTGCTAGTCAATATGCATGTGGAATTCATATTAGGAAGATTTACATACATACCAACATCCAAACTTCAATTTTTACATGTATATATATCGCGTTATCTATGCATGAAAAGATGTATATTTCACTTTTTAAAAGTTAAAATAGTGGTATTTTGGATGACATAATAAAGAGTTAGATATGCAAATACATAAGAATTGGGTGGTATGTATGTAAATGCCCCTCCATATTAATGACTCAGTGACTTTAAAATTACAGCATTCTCTCAAGATATGGAGTTCATGGATTCCCAACCCTCTTTCTGCTACACTCTTCAATGCCGGTGAGATATCATGGTTCGCGAAGCACTAGTTCCCTCACTGCATTCTACTCTAATGTTACAGGTAAGTGCTACAAATTTTTTATAAGAGAAAATCCGAAGTAAATTATCAAAATGATACCAACATTTTTTAGGCTTTTTATTTTAGTCACTGTTGTTTGATTTAAATCTTCAACTCATTAAGTTTAAATCAACTTTGTTCTACCATCAACTGTTTTATCTTTAGACAAAAATGAATTCAGGGGTGATATAATTGATATTATTTTGAACTTTTTATAATCAATGCCACTACTCAATACTAGTTCAAATAAATGAGATTGATCTTTAAAAATTTAAATTTCTTTCATGAAAATTTTATTTCTGCCAATTTTTTATCCAAAGAAATGGCAAACTTAGCCGTAGGATCAAATTATTCAAATTTAAAGTTAAGAGATTCGATTGCACATGTGAAAAAAAAAATGGATTAAAATGAAGGTACATAAAGAAAAAATTATGTATTTTGCAGTCACGATCAAAATGCTGTCTGATTTTAGGGAAGTTTACATGCATAACAACATATCTTATATCTTAACATATGTAGCACCTAAAGTTTAATAACTACATTTATAACATTTTGTTATTAAAAATCTATGCATGAAGATGTATATTTCACTTTTAAAAGAGTGATAATTGTACGGTACTTTTGGAAATGTGAGAGTTTGTGCTACATATTCAACTATATAAGAATTTTATGGTATGTATGGAACTGCCGCTTGCTTTTATTATCCTTCAGAAGTTTTTTATTCATATCATCAATACCTTTATTTTCAAAGTCCGATCAATCCTATGCAATGAAAGATGCTAATTTATATGGGAACTTAACATACATATCACACAATTCTTATGTATTTACATACATAACATCCAAATTTTGGTATTTACATTTATAAAATCATAAACCTATACACGAAAAGATGAATTTCATCTTTACAAAGATAATGTTCGTGGTATTGTTGATGTGATATAAAAGATTTGAGCTGCATGCATATAAATGTGAGAGTTTAGGTTTTAGGCATGTAAATAAGAATTGTGTGGTGCCTACGTAAATGCCCCTAATTTATATCAGATTCTTTGTCTTGAAGTAAGGCATATCCATCTTCCTCTCAAAATCCTCTCTAACCTTCCCTTCTGCCAAAATGCAGGCATTAAGCCGGCATCGCCGGATAAAACAACCATGAGGAAAGCTGTAAATCTAATAAGCCTCACCGAACAAAACTCCGACCACGAAAACTGCCCATTCTCATGGGCGAGATCGCCGGAGAAATTGCTCCGGCAAGAAACCTACCTCACTCTGGCCTGCTCATTTCTGATACTGAGGCTGATGCACTCCGTCCTGCCGAAGCTGATGGGCTGTTTGATAAGCATGCGGAATTATTCTCAAGTTTTTCTCCACCAGACTAAGCGAGGTTTCGGCAGGCTGAATCCGAGCAGTAGAAGGAATTTGAAGGAAGGTGCGATTAACGCCAAGGCGTGGGCGTCCAAGTCTCTCGCATCTGTGTCAATCGGCGAGCCATCTGGGAGGACTCAATCGTTACTCCAGTGATTGAAACATTATTGTAAAATAGTTCTCTGTTGGAACGTTATTTATGAATTATTGGATTGAAGCTCTGTGCTGGATTTATAAATTCTTGTTGCGGCCTTTTGGTTATGGTTATTAGATAAATTTATTATATTTAAGTTGATAGCTGATTTAGGTTGCGTTTTGGGGGCAGCTGCATTTGTTTCAATAAGCAGCTTTAAAGGTGTTGATGTTGGAAAGTATTTGTTAGTGAAAGGGTATGTCTTTTCGATGATATGTTGGGATGCAATTATTTCTGAGAAGAAATAATAATGCTTTTATGTATATGTGTTAGTAGTAAGTGTACAATTTTCAGAAATAATTTAAACAAAAATAATAGAAATAAGTTTCAACATTAAAATTCATGCTAATCTTATTCACCTCATCAAAATATGAAGCTTTTCTTGTAAACTTAATATAAACTTGAACATCAGAAGATTTCTGACAATCATAAACTCAGGAGAACACAGAACTCATAGCATAAATTCAAGGCACAAGAGACATTCATCGAGAGCGGATATGCATCATAAAACAGCAAGTGCATGACTTTCTCGGAATAAAACCGATGAACGCAAACAAGTTCTGGAAGAAAATATGACATCAAAGCCAAAGAAAAACAAATCAAAAGTAGACCAACTTGTCATCGTAAATCCAAAAAATGTCAAACTCAAGACCAATTACTCAACATAAACCCAAAGCATTGATGTTACTTGGCCCATCGATCCCATGGCAGACTCACCTCACCATTCCAGACTGGCCCGTTCGGTGGTCCGGGCCTGACAACCCCTTGACTGAAAAAAAGAAAAAGGGTTTAGGGAAACTGCAATCAAACCGACCAGCTTAAACTGATTAAACTTCGATTTCAGCAAACCTGCAATCAAACTAACAAGCTTAACGAGATGAACCCAATGAAACCAAAGTTGGTATAATTTGAGTCAAATCAAGCCCTAATTAAGCCATTGAACCACTTTCGAATAATATTAGTGCATTATCATTTGCTCAAACAGATTCCAGATCTGACATACTTGTACACAAATCAAGCTCTTCGATAAGATGAATCCAACAAGCCAAACATCATTCAATTTGAACATTATTAAGACATTTACATGTCCAACAGATACCATCAAATCGAGAGAACCTCTATGGGTCGTATGATGGTGTGGTATGAATTTCTTCGTTATTTGTAATGAGGACTCTATAAATAAAGCCTTATTTCTTCTTGAAAGGTGACTTATAGACCCTGAGCCAAAGGAAGTCGAGAGCCTTGAGAAAAGGGAGTTGAAGTCTGGTATTATGCACTGTCGATCCGACAAAACCTCTTGTACTCGTCGACCACCACCGACTACCATCGGCGACCACCTACTCCTTACAACAAAATACCATGTGAAGCAACAACTGACACCAAATAAACACTTAACAACCTATGAAGCAATGCATCATCTCGATCGACGATGTCTCATAAAGAAGGTGCAACGACACACCTTGAAGACAATAAACCTTGAATACGGTGTAGCATCGTATACTGATAATGGTGTAACAATACACTTCACATATGGTGCGAAGATGCCTCCGGAAGATGGCGCAACGACACATCTCGATAATGGTATAGCAACACACCACACGTACGTGCGACGATGCCTCCCGAAGGCAACGTAACAACAAGCTTCAAATACGGTGCGATGACGTCTTCCAAAGACAGTGTAACAACGCAACTCGAATACAACACAACGACACACCCAGTGACGGTTTAGCAAACTACTATCGGTGCAGTCAGTGACCACCCACAACTATTATGGCTACTAACTACGATCTTTGTGACTAACTACGACTGTTATAACCATCAACCATAACCTCCATGATCAACTACATATGTTGTGGCCCAATTATAATTATTATTACTAAACTACTATTTTATATATATGATTATTAGTTTTGTAATTTATCTTATCTAATTTAAGAAAAGAGTATATATGTGTACTTTTAGTTACATAGTAGATTACTTTGATTAGGTTAAGCCTCATAATTTTTTTCTGAGATAAATAAAGATGCAATTCACTAAGTTAAAACAAATACTATTATACTAAAAGCTCTTAAAATAAAATATTTCATATAAAATAAAATAAAAAATTGAATAATTTTAATAAAAATATCATTTTGCAGACCCAATTCTACCTATATAATTCTGAACACTAATTTCTAAACAAATGCCCATGTAATAAGTTAATTGCCACCTAATCGGTCGCGCATTATATTTTAGTCAAACTATAAATTCTCTATTTTCTAACTTTCATTGTAGGCCTAGAACTGCAAACAGTCCGTGTTGAACCGAGTTATTTTTTTCAGCTTGAGCTAATTTATGAAGAGCTTGTTCGAGCTTGATTTGAACTCAATTCAAGCTTTCAAAGATACATTCGAGCTTGAACTCATTTATAAATATGGTATTCGAGCTCAGGTCAGCAATTCGAGCTCAATTCATATAACAATTATCGAACTTATTAACGAGCAATTTGTTTAACAAAATAAATATGGAACCTTTTCAAGGTTTAATCAAGTCTTACTAGAGTTTTATAGGAGCCATTCATTAAGAAAAAAAAATTCGAGTTATATCAAATGATGTTCATTTAGCTTGAAAATAAAAATTTAAATGTTATTGTTCATGTTATAAATAGAATTGGGCACCAAACAAATGATACAATAGGGGATTAAAATTCGCCAAAACATATAAATAGAATTAGGCATCAATTAGTAAAGCGGCATGACATGAATCTGTTTTGCATACAGCAGCAGGCATATTATAAAAAGAAGTAAATACATAACTAGGCCCAATAACTACATGCCAGTGAGTCAAAAATACCCACCAATCTTCGGCATCCGTAAAAACAACGCGATTTGCAACAGCTGGTGTTGGAGGCTTATGAGGAAAAAGTGCTGCACTAAACAAATGCAGAAACCTCTGCTCCAACTTCGCCAGCAGGAACGAGAGCGACTGAATGCTTCATGTTACTTTCCACAAGTGTAGCAGCTAGCGATTGCTTAGGTAGTTGTTGACCAGATCGGAGTTGACACTAAACTGGTACGGATCCTCCTACAAAATTGCTGCCTGCATTATCTAGAGAGACTGCCATCGGTAGGGAAAAAAGAGGCTCTACACTTGAACGACTCTTCAGAGGACCATGTTCCAAGCGGCTCTGTCTGTATACTGATACAGCTGCCAGGTCAATCAAAAACTACTATTAGTAGTCCCCTAGAATTTTTACATGGGCAATTTATCCCAAAGTCTATAAAAGTGACAAATAAGCTCTCACACTCTTCAAGGTAAGGCTGAATAATCCTCCATAAAGACCATGTCAGTAGATATTAAAAAACTCTGAGACTAAATTAGCACTTTGTAAACTCTGGGACTAAAATGATCTCATATAAAGAATTGGGCAACTATCTTAACACTTTTCTCATAAAATAAGATTGTTTTTAAAATTTAAAATGATGAGAATCCAACTTTCTTTAATATCAGCAAAGTAATACTTCACAAGCATAAGCGGAGCTAGATCAAGGATAGATAAAACAGAGTCTATCAATTCCAGGCGTCCAGTAACAGCTCACGCTTTGATTTGAATTAGCTTGCATGGATGAATGAAGACTTGACGATTGAAAACAGAGCGAAGGATACGGAACCTTCCTCCAAGAAAGCGAAATTTCACGTCTTTCAATCATTTCCAATATCAACTTCTGCAAATCATTGACAGCTTGCTGTCTAGAAAAATCGAGAACACAAACAAAGAGAACTTAGACAAGAGGCTGAACATGTTCATGCATTAAACAGTAAAGCTGTCCGATTTGGATGGATGTGAACCCACTGATAAGTTCAGTACCGGAAACAGATGCAGAGTGATGAAAAGAGCGACGAATAGATGAATGCATCTGCCATGCAAAAGAAGGAAAAGGAGGTTTCTGTGAATTTGACACATAAGGCGATATTGGACGTAATGTCGCCTTAGATTGTCCCAAGAGAAACTTCATGTTTTTTGTGGACAACTTTAGGCGTTTCTTTTGTCGGGTCTCTGGTACATGAGCCTTCCCATATTGCTTCCCGCTATGTTCCGTGCTACATCCAGTAGTTTCCTCAGCATCGCTCTCAACTGCTTCCTCAAGTTCGACTTCAAAGTCCGCATCATTTTCTTCGTCCTCATCGAAAGCTCTCTCTCCTTATCCGCTTGCTCATTCTCATCCCCTTCCAAAAGAACGACAGTAAGAAACTTGTGGTATTCTTCTTCATCTTCTGACTCCTGAAGGAAAGTCTCTAGTTCTTCGAGCGTATAATTTGTAAGCGAATGACAAGCCCTCGCGCGCCTTCAAATAGCATCATCATTAACATCAACAATAGGCACGTTGATGTTTCCATGATTGGAAGTCGCAACATTTTCATTCACGATAGAAATCACTGTTTTCGTTCGTTTTACTCTCTTTTATTTTAGAATGAGTCGTTAGCATGTCAATCATTGTATATTTTTCTTTCTCGAATAAGTCTCTCTTTCAGGTCATATGAACGGTCTGAAAAAGAGAGGAACAGAAAAAGATAGACATACGACAAAGCGACAAACAAGAGAAAACACAAAATGTGGAGAGCCTACGTGCGGTGAACCTCGGAAGGATAAGCCAAGTATGTCCGCACAAACAAGATCGGGCGGAGGCATTTTGGGCCAATATTCAAGAAAGAATGACTATGTAAACTGCCCAAAACCAGATAATCAGGTGTAAGTGTTTGTTATGGGGTCAAAAGTACTCCTAATGAGACATATTACACTTGATTAATTACATCTAGGGGTTTCGTTTATATTATCGTGAACTTTGGGAAATAAGTACTCAAAATAAGTTTATTCCATGTGAGAAAAAACTCAATGTTTCAAAGTTCAAATTAAGTCATCGGGAAGATAGTGAGTATCTCACATCTCGAATGGATAGCAGCTAATCGGCATACGGAGTTAACGGAATAACCATAAGTCATGTCGACGGGGATATCTCAACACATCGAAGCACGTCCGAGCCATAAGGCCGGATAACAAATCGTCAAATCTCAAACAGACGACAGCTCATCGGCATCGGACCATCAAGATGATATCGATGAAGTCAAGAAGCGACAAGACTCAAAGGGGCTCAGCAAAAAGAATGTAGAGTAATCCTAGAAGATAGAGGTAACTGGGTCGGGCTATCACGAACCCGACAACCACAGTTACTAGAACCCTAAGTGTCTGTTTGGGGCAACTGCAACTTATCCAGCTTATCTTGATAAGTTGCTGATCAGCATCTGATCCGGATAAGTTGATTGACTGTTTGATTTGTGCATTTGAAAAACAATTGATTTGCAGTTGTTGTTAGATGAATATAACTCTACACGTGTGCAGTAATGTTGTTTGTAACATAACCGCCATAGCAATATATTTAATACTTGGGAAACAAAAATGAATTCAGAACAATACAAAAAAAATAAGTTAAAGACATAAAAAGTCAAATTTGTAAACATTTATGCATGCACCTAAAAAAAAAGATTTCCATTATTACATACTTACCACTCAATTTCTATGTACGTAAAATTTTTACATATATGTCATCAATGTATGAAAAGATGTATTTCACTTTTTAAAAATTAAAATATTGATATTTTTAATTTCATATGGATCGTCTTCTCACGAATTCAAAACCTCGACGTAGAGAACGCGACCAAGATCATGGGTATGCTCCTCATTCAAGAGCATGGCAAAAAAGAAATGATTCGCCTTGAATTTGGCCCTGAAGCTTTACTTCATTTTGTCGTTCTCAAGGTCCGCAGAGACCTCAAACTCCTTCCTTCTTCCTCACTCACCACGCCTTATGGTGGTGGCACCGTAGCCGGCATTTTCTCCCGACAAAACTTTGCTCGTTTCCTCTCTGTTTCTCCATCAGAAGAGCTTATCGATGAACTGTAGTTGCAAGACCAGCTTTCCTTCATCAGGGAAGGGGGTAACAACGCACGGGTGAGAGCGAAATGTGGTGGGCTTTTTTTCCCGACATGGTTGAAGATTGCCCGAGCCCGAGTGCCGGAGGTGAAGGCGTGCTGCTTTCAAATTCAGTGGGATGGGGAATGAACGGTATGAGTGGATTTAGGTGGAGACCCTGCCTTTATTTTGCAGAGGCTTTTGCAAGAACGGGAATGCTTGTCGATTTCTTCATGATAACGCTGCAGCAAAGCAGGAGTTATGACTTTAGCCTGCAAAGAGCGAGATTTCGGCCTGCGGCTAGCGAGACTTCAGCTTGCGATGACGAGGGAAGCTTCGGTTTACAACAAGGGACTCTTCTCTCTCGACGCGACGAGGGTAACCCCGTTAAAAATTTTCCCGAAATACAGACCGCAAGGCTCGACCCACGGTTCGCATCTAATGTAAAATAAAAAGGTCATTCGTGCATAAGTTGTTCAAACGTTGCATCCAAACGGTGAGGCGACATTTTGAAAACACCGTCGTGGCTGATAAGCTGCCCCAAACATACCATAAGTCTACCCGGTCATGAAGGTAGTCAACCCAACACGTTCTGAGATCTCCGGTCAACAATCCGTGAATTGCGTCGCCCACAGAAACCTCAGTAGCCCTAAGTTTAGATGAAGAAAACTATCATATAACTAAAAGCTGGAACTCCAAGAGGAGGGACTTACATCTGCTAGTGACAAAGATGTCTCAAGAAAGAAAGAGAAGCGGAAGTTCAGCTACAATGTTGGAAATGCTCCCAACAAAAGGATTTATACCCGTCTGAGTAGGGGAATATTCTAACACCCTAGACGTACTAGACAATCATTTATATAAAAGGTATGTTGGGTTAATAAAGTTGGAGAAGTACGGAGACTCCTCCTCGGGACATGCAAATATGAAGGCAGTTATAGGTTCTTAAATATTGTGGAAGACCTATTAATATATGCAGAAAATCAAAGTGCAGTTTTAAAATCCTTAATACTTTAATCCTAAATTTTAATTATCTAGAATGTTTTATTAGAATTTTGTAAATAAAAATAAAAATTTTAAATCCTAAAAAACCTATATTGCATCCTGAAATGTTAAATCATATAAATAAACAAAGAAAATAAACACACATACAGATATGTAAAAAAAGTAAAACAAGTCAAATCAAAATAAAAGGAAAGGTCGATGTCGCTGGGTCGACAACATATCCTAAAAAAGAAAAAGACGGCAGAAGACCTAATTCTATATATCAATGTAAAATACATAATTAAGATACGGAAGGCGAGTATAAGCTCATGGTCCCCTTCATATGATCCTTGCGCCAAACGCCAAGGAACTCATGCAAGTATCTAATTTCTTCTGCAGGACTTTCCTAGACTCTATAAAGTACATAAGAATAGAAAAAAAAAACTCAATGTTGCATGAAATCAAATGTTAGCGGAAAAACTCGCATGCATATAACATATCATGAGTCATGTCTTATAAAAATGGGAGCTAAATAGCACCTACAAGTAAATTATTAGAAATCATTACTTGATCCCCTCATAGCGGTATCTGTGTGTGCACATAGATGCATGACTCTCTGTAGAAAAACGTCCTAATACACCATTAAACATAAGAAACATGCAGTCCCACCACAAACACAGTGCAAAATAAAGTCTGGTTAGGGCAACCAATCTAGCAAACAACAATAGTTAGATATCAAAAAATTTACCTATCAACATAAATCCTAGCCCGACACACTATCTACTGAAAAAGTTGAATAACCTAGTATCTAAGTGCGGGGTAAGTCTTGGTATAGTACGAGTTTGACAGAGTCGTCATGCCGACCCCGTCCTAAAGATCCGAAGGATCTAAAGGGCGTCATGAAGACGGGTGACACAAATTAGATTCATTTAATCTTTAGCACAGTCATACTAGTGTCAATCACGATTACTTAACTCGTATTGTCCACCGGGATCGACCCAACAAGCAATGCTTGTTAAGACATTGTGACTGACACGGGATCACTCTCCTAACGAGTTTGACTCACTAGTCATGCAAATATGCAAATGCAAGTACAAATAGTCATGCGACAGAAATGATGAGTGTAAAGTAAGGCAGTGACTCGGGAAAAAATGGATGCAGTGGAGACAACGACCCGAACAAATGAGTGTGTCGTAGCGACAGCGACCCGAAGATGGGCATGTCGTGGGGGCAGCGACTTAAGAAAGGTTTGCTGAGA